CCACGGCCGCAGCAGGCCAGTGCGTGGGTGGGGCTGGAGGGCCAGGCCAGGCTGTGTCTCAGTGCCCACCTGGTCACCTCCCTACACCCTGATGAAGGATGCATTGTCCTTCTTTTCTCTTATTGTCACCAGAGAAAGGGAGGGAGGGAGGGAGGGGGAGAGAGAGAAAGCACCCTCGTGGGCGTGGTCACACGGCACTATCTTTCCTGTTTGTCCTGCCCGTCAGGGATTTGAGGCATTTGCACACACACACACACACACACACATGCGCGCACACACACACCTGGAATGTTTTTCAAGCCAGGAGGGCTGGGATTCGAACCGCGGTTGGCCATGTGGGATCTGGCTCTACGCTAGGGGCCAGCCTTTTGTTCTTTTACTGAGGGATGACACAAGACACAGAGCGGAAGCTACCAGCCATAGTCACAGAGCTGACAAATGGGGACCCGGGATCCTGCACCAGACCCCGAGTGCAAAACCTTGTGAGGTGACAGAGTTGGGACCATTGTCCTTGGGGACTGCCTGGCCAGGCCGCAAACACAGGGTGGAGTCACCACCCATCTCCTAGGGGGACACATTGGTCCCCATGAAGCACCCAGTGGGCCTACTACTGGGGTCCCAGGTTGATATAGCCTGCGGCCCTTTTGGGGCCAGGGGCAAGCGCCTTCCTATTTTGCAGACTAATAGCTGCGTTCTTTGGTGCTCTGTGGATGCCCACGCTCTCCCACTTAGAGCCTGCTTGGAGTGGGTAGCCGGGCCTGGAGAGCTCTCTCCCTCCTCCCCGGGCCCAGCTGTACCCCAGACTGCCATGGCTCCACAGCCACCCTAGAGGAGAACTCTGCTCTCACTGGTGTGCACGCTGGCAGCCCTCTCCCTAAAAGGCAGGCCCCCGCAGACTCGGAGCCACCGAGTCAGACCCTCCTGTCCCTAGGTTGGACAAAGGCGCCGCTGGGCCTCTTTGCCTCTTGGCTGAGTCCTCTCTGCGGTCAGGGCCAGGGCCACCAGGGCCAGCGAGGGTCCACCTGGGCTGGTCCCGTTATCCGCGCTTTGGAATGTGGATGCCGTGGAGCACATCGGGCCTGCTGGGGCCGTCTGGATGGGTGGGTTGACTGTTTGGCATGGGCCTGCCTGCCAGTCTGGTCAGGCATTGCATACCTGATCCCGTAATGTCTGGGATGCACGCTCTCCCGCCGCCAGCCTGGCATCTCATGGCGGGAAGCCTTGCTGCACCTCCCATTGAGCTGTTTGCATCTTGCAGGCAGATGGGACCCTGAGGTGGGAAGGAGCTTGATTGAGCTCCTCTCAGGAGGACCTGGCAGGGATGCAGTGCTTCCCCTTGCCCCTCACCCCTCAGGACCCCATAGCTGGTGTGTCAAACAGCTCCACAAGTCTCCTCTTGAGCCACCAAGGCAGCCCCTGGGGTGGCGGGGAGCCCAGAGGACAGACACACCCCCCCTTTCAGGCAGATCTGAGTTCAGACCCACCTGGGAGCCACCAACAGTTGGAACTGGCTGGAATGTATCGGGACCAGGTGGCCTGGAAGCAGAGCAGAGGCCCTTTCTTTCCTACCGTGATATAAACCCGGGGACCCCACCCTGTTGTGGGAAGGGGCCTTGTGTCGATTTGTGGCTTCAGCCTACCCTGGCATTGCCAACAGTTCCAGACTTTCCAACAGTTCTTGTGAGCTGGGGAACGTGAGTCCCCAGGTCCTCATCTTTGTAATAGTCAGTTCTTGCTGTGTAACTAACTGCCCCTTACATCAGTGGCTTTAAACGTTTATAGTCAATCATAACTTTTCATGATTTCATATTGGAGAATTCCCCTACTTGCTAAAGTTTATTTGTAACCGCCAAATCAATATTAATGGTTTTTTGTTTTGCCAGAAGCTGTACGTGCTCATCAGAAAGAGAGAGAAAGAGAGAGAGAGGTTGATTTGGGGTATGGATATACATACACGCACTGTGCGTTTCAAGCCACTGGGGCCAGGATTCAGAGTAAGGGCAGCCGGGTGCAATTCAGCTCCCATGTACTGTCCTACGGGGCTGGTCCCATCTCTTTGTTTTAGGTTTATTTCATGAAAGAGAGGATGCGTGTACACACCAGCGGGGTCTCGCCGTGCCACGGTCCCCCGCCCCCAGCCCCCAGCCAGGATCACAGTGCACAGTGGCCAGATCTCAGGCCTCCCACAAAGCTCCAGTATCTACGCACAGTGGCACCCCACAGCCTGAGCCCCCAGGCAGGCCCACTAACAGCACTCTGTCCCCACTTGTGGCTATGTGCAGAGCAACAAAAACTCACCCGACGCATGCTCCCTGGTGAGGTCGGACAAAGCAGGTCCCCCTGTTCCGTTATAAACAAAGGTCCTTCTGGGGGTCTGACTGCTGATCTGGTTCCACTTCGCTGTGCTTTTGGTTGGCGGTTTCCCTGTGAACGGCCCTGAACGGGTGCTGAAGTGCCGTCTTGGGGCCAGAGCCAGGAGGCTGGGAGGCGCCTTCTGGAGAGTGTTGAAGCTTCTCGCTCATGACTGTGGGGCCCGAGTTGTGGGTTCTGTTAACGACCCCACATATGTATTGTAGTAACGAAGGTCTTTAAACAAAAATACCCTTAAAACGGGTTATGTAAGCCCAGCCCTAGCTTCCCCGGGAGTGCTGGCTCCATCTTGGCTGATTCAGACTTTGTGGTCACTTGACACAGTGTGACTTCCACGGGCAGAGACCAGCCCTCTCCCATGCATCTGCTCAGCCGCTGAGCTGGGTTGGGCGCCTCTGCTTCAAGCTGGGTCCCCTGGGCGTGGTCCTTACAGTCAGTGGGCTCAGGCCTGCTCCTGGGGGTCTTTCTGGGTCTGGGCTGACTGGACAGCCATGCCAGCTGCAGCGGAGGTCCAGGAATAGCTCAACTGCACAAGCAAGTCCCCTGGCAAAGCCCGAGGGCGACAGGCTCTGCCTTTGTGATGGGCTGCGAAGTCACAGGAAAGGGCAGAAACAGCTGGGGTCACGCCCTGGACACTTCGATGCTGTGTCTGTGGTGGTCCAGGTGGGACCTGAGGGCTGGCACGGGAGGGGGGAACGCTATGGAGGAGCCCAGGCGGGAGCCGAGGGCAGGGCCTCCTAAGGGTGTCCCAGAGCGGAGGGAAGGACTCTCCTCTCCAGGCTGCCCCAGGCCCTCCTGGCCTGGCTGCAGGTCTAACTGTGCCTCTCTGCAGACGGGCCTTTGTCCCATTGCTGTTGGCTCCGGAGGGAAACTGCTGGCCTCAGCTGCCTCCCTTGTGCGTGACCTGGAGTCTGCGTGGGCAGGGAGAGGAGGAGGCAGGTTGGTTAGTGCTGGGGTGGAGGGAGCAGGAGGGGCCGGGCGAAGTTCCAGTGCTCCAAACACTCTACTTCAGGACAGTTTCTGTGCGCTTAGGGAGCTACGCGTCGGGGGAGGTCTGCGGGGACCCGCCTTGCCCTGGTGGGGCTCGTCCTGTAGACTGACCTGTGAGAGGTCACTCCTCTGGCCTTCCCTGTCCTCTCTTTCTCTGCCTCAGGCATCTCCCTGGTTTCTCATCAGTAATGAACGTGTCCCCTTCACATCAGAGACACGGGCCTTTGATATCAGCATGTGTAGGAGGGAGGGAGAGGTAATTAACACATTAATTAATTGTCCTTCATTTATACTTCAAACAAATAAGGTGATTTTTTAACGGAATAGATTGTACACAAATAAGAGCCATTAGTGACCACTTAAAAATGAACACGTGCTGGGGCCAGCAGGTGGTGAGATGGTTCAGGCACTGACCTCTCACGTGGCTGACTGCGGTTCGAGTCCCAGACCTGGCAGCGTGAAAATCATGCTGAGCGTGTACGTGTGTGTCCCGCATCCCAGGAGGAGGGTGGAGGAGGAGGAATTGCAACGTGGCCTCCCCCTGGGGGTGATTGCTCACTTCCCCTCTCACTATCTGTTTTTCTCCAGTGAGTGCACACGTCCTAAGGTGAGGACCTTAGAAAGAGAGTTTGTGCTTCCAGTGGCCAAGTGCAGGTGCCCCCAGACTCCCCACCCACCCAGACGGCCCACGCGTGCATTAAGAGCCCCGCCAGCAGCCAAGGCAGCCCTCGCAGCCTGGCCTAAGCAGCGGAGTACCACAGAGTCTGCTGTCTACTACAGAAAAAAATAAAAAGGCACCCGCCACCACCCCTCCTCCGGGTATACCCCGAGTTAAGAGCGGGTTTGGCAAAGACCTTGTGTGGCCACGTCCATGGCAGTGTGGTCACGCTGCCGGGAGGCAGAAGCAGCCCAGCGTTGTGGGCAGAAGAGAGTGGGCAGAGCTGTGGACGGTCATGGCGCGGAATTCCGAGGGCCTTGGCAATAAGGCTGATGGAGAGGGTGCTTGTAAAGTGAAGATGGACTTAGATGAACGGGAAGGCAGGAAGGCTGTGAGCATCTTGGAGGTGTCCTGGCTATGGTAACATTTGGGCAGCCACCCCATGTTAGGGATATGCAGAAACTCGAGACCAGACTGGAAGGGCCCTGCTGCCGGCCATGGGGCTGGCCTCTGCCTCGGAACTGTGTTGGCAGAGGTGGGCGAGGCCTGGAGGCTGTGTGCTGGGCACCACTGCGGCCAGGGAGCTCCGCAGCAGAGCTGGCTCTGGCACCTTTGGCTCCACTGAGGCACAGAAGTTTCCTTCCAGCCCTTGGTCCTCCATGTCCTCATGCCCCCTGCTGTGGGCAGAGGTGGGTGCCTTTCCTTGATAGGTGGGAGTCCAGCAGGAGCCCCACTCCTGGTGTGACTGTGAGGGCTAATGGTTTGTGCTGCTACGGCCCGGGACCCTGTGGGGACCAGGCACCTATGGGGATATGGGGTGGGGGCGTGTATGTGTATGTTCTGTTCCAGGACCGTTCGTCTGCTGTGCTGTGAGTAGACAGGGGGCAAAGCCCTGGAGGAGGTTCTAGGTCTCTGTGGGGACGAGAGGGGTCTGGTGTGGAGGGATGCAGGACGTGCACCAGAGGAGGAGTGGACAGGCGCCCTGGTGGACAGGACACCAGCAGGAACTTCGAGGAACCAAGAATACCAAGGAGGATTGCCCGGGAAGCCGGGGCGACGCTGCATCCGTGGGGAAGGATGTAGGAGAGGCGCGTTTGGTTCTGGGTGTTTGAAATCCGAGGTGGGTTTTGGAAACCTTGGTGGGGATGGCCAGTCGGCAGCTGGCTTGCAGTCTGGAGCTCGGGGGTGGTCCTGGCTGCCGGCAGGAAGGGGCAGCTTCATACCTGGTACTGAATGTCCAATGCCAAGGTGCCAGTCCATTCTGCCTGGTGAGTTCTCTCTTCCTGGTCTCGCTGTGACCTCACGTGACCTTTATTTCTTTTGAAAGTGAGAGACAATTAGAGAAATACATACACACACATATGTATATATATACATACACACACACATATGTAGAGAGACAGAAATATATATACAGAAATGTACATATATATAAATACAGAAATGTATATATATAGAGAGAAATAGAGAAGTTATATATGCACACGTGTGTGTGTGTGTGTGTGTGTGTAGAGAGAGGGAGCACCCCTGCTCTGCACCCACCCTTTCGGATGCCAGTAATCTTACTGGAGCAGCGCCCCACCCTACGACCTCATTTAACCTCTTTATAGGCCCCGCCTCCAAGTGCAGCCACAGGGGCTAGGGCTTCAACGCATGAGTTTTGAGGAATCATAATTCGGTCCGTGGCAGGTGGTGATAGAAGACAAAGGGCCAGGGTGAGCCCTGGGCTCCCAGCTCAGGCCGCCCGGCGGAGAGGGCCCTGGGGTGGACACGTGCTGCTAGGAGACAGGGAGACTGCGGCATCTGCCCCATCTGGCCCCACACAGCCGGGCTCTGCTGGACTCGGGCCCTCCCCTAGGTCGCTGTTCTCCCCGACAGCTGCTCCAGGACTAGAAGCGTGTGCTGGGGGAGCAGAGGAGGGGCTGGGCCAGGAAGCCCTGGGTAGGAGCCAGACCCAGCCCGGCCGTGTGGAGCAGCTGCAGCCGGCTGGGCCGCGACTCCCCAGCCTTCCCAGAGGCGCCCACCTGAGCGTGGACCACCTCTGCACGCGGGCAGGGAAGGCTGTGCACGCAGGCGCTGGCAGAGTGGCCTGTGGCCCCGGGGGGGAGGAGCGACATGAGAGCGTGGGTTGGCACCTAATCCCAGCTGGCGTCCGGGTCAGTTGGATGGTTTAAGAGGAGAGCGGGGTCTGCCGCGCGGTCGGGAGCCAGCCTCAGGCCGCAAGTCTGCCTGGCCCACGCAGCTGCTCGGTGCACAGGGCTGCCGGCTGCGTCCCTGCCCACCTCACAGAGGGCCGCTTCAAGGGGTTTCTCAGGCCGCTCCTCTCCTCCTGGCCCACCCCATCCCTGGGCTCCCTGGACTAGGTGCTACCCCTCCCGGGACAGTCGGTGTAGACACGCCCCCTTTGCATCTCATCTCCGTGCTTCCCCCAGCCCGGGTTACCCTGATCCCCAGGAGGTTGGAGCCAGCAGCTACACTGCTCCCGCCCGATCTCAACCGCGTGGTGTTTCATAAAGGCCCTGGACACAGTGGGGCTCCCTAGGTCACCACAGCCCCTGTAGGGGTCACAGTCCTGGAGGCTCCTGGCGTCTGGACAGCATGGCCCTCTCCTTCCTCCCCAAGGCCCCAGAGAGGGAGAGGAGCCTGGGGAGAGGGCGGAAGGCCCCAGAGGAGCTCCTTTCTGGGCCCACGTGCAGTCCTCTCTGGGACAGCACCCTGTGATACGAGTCTCTGGGGCCGTTCAGCTCAAAAAGCGAGTCGATTTTCTCATGCTTCCTTCATTTCCCACTGTCTGGCCCTGCCTACGGGACAGCACAGAACCGCCTGAATTCTGTACCGTGTGGGAAGGGGGTACGGGGCACGCAGCAGGGCCTGGATGTGGGGAGTGTGTACAGGGCATGCAGTAGGGGCTGGATGTGGGGAGCGTGTACGGGACACACAGCAGGGGCTGGTTGTGGGGAGCGTGTAAGGGACACACAGTAGGGGCTGGTTGTGGGGAGCGTGTACAGGGCACACAGCAGGGGCTGGTTGTGGGGAGCATGTAATGGGTGTGTAGGGAGCTGGTTGTGGGGAGTGTGTACAGGGCACGCAGCAGGGGCTGGTTGTGGGGAGTGTGTAAGGGACACACAGTAGGGGCTGGTTGTGGGGAGCGTGTATGGGGCACACAGTAGGGGCTGGTTGTGGGGAGCGTGTAATGGGTGTGTAGGGAGCTGGTTGTGGGGAGCGTGTAATGGGTGTGTAGGGAGCTGGTTGTGGGGAGCGTGTAAGGGGTGCTCAGCAGGGGCTGGTTGTGGGAAGCGTGTAAGGGACACACAGTAGGGGCTGGTTGTGGGAAGCGTGTAAGGGACACGCAGCAGGAGCTGGTTGTGGGGAGCATGTAAGGCGTGCTCAGCAGGGACTGGTTGTGAGGAGCGGGTAAGGGGTGTGCAGTGGAGGCAGGGCCAGGCCGGGCTACACGGGTGAGACTATAGAAGGCAGCACATGGTCACTGTGGGCTGCTGGCCCCTCGGCCCCTTCACCAGGCACTCACGGTTTCATGTCCCTGGTCTGCTTCTCTCCCCGTCCCCTGCAGCGTCAGAGGGGAGACCCCACCCTCACCCCCCCACACACTGAAGCTGCTGTCCAGATCTCGGGCTTGCTGGGCCCACGTTGTCTCATGTGACCCTTCAGGCCCCCGGGCCGGGCCGATGGGCCAGACACCCCTGTGTCCTCAGTGTAGCCACCCTGCCCTGTTACCTGGCCCTGACCACATGGTGGGAGGCTGTTGTCTTATGCGAGTGAGGACTCGCCCACCCCCTTCCCACGCTAGGCTGTTGACAACGGGCTTTCCTCAGAGCCAGGACCTGGGAGGTGACAGGTGTGGTGGATG